AAGGGGCTGGAGAGGTGGTGCAGTGGTTAAGAACACTGACTGTTCTTGCAGAAGACCGAGGTTCGAATCCCAATACCCACATGGCAGCTAACAACTGTCCATAACTCCGGTTCCAGGGGATCCAACAGCCTTTTCTGTCCTCTGCGGGCATTGCACGACACGGGTGCACTTATCTACACGCAGGCAATACACTCATACACATAAAATAAAAATAATAAATAAATGTTTAAAAAAAAGAAAATGAGAGCTGGGCATGGTGGCGCACACCTGTAATCCCAACACTCAGGAGGCAGAGGCAGGCAGATCTCTGTAAGTTTGAGGCCAGCCTGGTCTGCATAGCAAGTTCCAGGCCAGTTGGGGCTACAGGGAGATCATAGCTCAAAAAACAAAACAAAACTATATGTAAGTGTTCTTTTCCGGGTTAGAAGATAGACATGGAGGAAGATTAGGCCAAGAGGGAGACTTCCTAGGGGGCAGAGAAGCAGGATGGAAAGGAGTTGAGTTTGCCTTTTAACTTCAGCTGTTTTCCTTTCCTTGGTGAGCTGTTTGGGTTGAGGAGGGAAGAGCTGCCCTCTCCAGACCACTGATAGGTTGAGGAGTCCCTAAGTGACTTGTGGCCTTGCTCATTCCTAGAGAGGTCAAGGTGACTTCCTGTTTCCATTTCCCCAGGCTGAGAAGAAAGCCAAGGTAATTGCAGTAATGAATGCTGTGGAAGAGAACCAGGGCTCTGGGGAGCCTCAGAAGGTGGAGGAGGCCAGCCCTCCTACTGTGCAGCAGCCTACAGACCCTGCATCCCCTACTGTGGCCACCACACCTGAGCCTGTGGGGGCTGATGCTGGGGACAAGAATGCCACCAAAGCAGCTGATGATGAGCCAGAGTATGAGGTGAGCAGCTGACTTCTGCAACAACTTGGCCAGCTCTTTCCATGGTGTCACTGCCAGCTCCCCATGCTGTCTTCCAAATGGCTGCTTCAGCCTCAGCCAGCCCTTGACCTGCTTTGTCTCCCTTCATTCTCACAGAGCTCTCTTCTGCCTCCAGGTGCCCAGGGCTGGGGTTGCCATGGGAGGGATTATAGGGTATCAGGGCCTTATGATCAATGCGTAATGATTTTTGCTTCTTGGGGCTCCAGGACGGCCGGGGTTTTGGCATTGGGGAGCTGGTGTGGGGGAAACTGCGAGGCTTCTCCTGGTGGCCAGGCCGAATTGTGTCTTGGTGGATGACGGGCCGGAGCCGAGCAGCTGAAGGCACCCGCTGGGTCATGTGGTTTGGCGACGGCAAGTTCTCAGTGGTGAGTTGGGTTTGGTGGTATGGAATAGGGAGGTAGGGAGAAAAAATAAAGGGTCTTGGTCTTGGGGCCTAGTTCTTCTGGGGGCAGTCTGGGACTAGGGCTGTAGAAATGCCCCCTGCTTGTCCTCCTATGTGGGGTCAATGGAAGAAGCAAGTCATGGAGATCATTGGGCTGATCAGAAAGTCTGCTGGCCTATCAGCTGTCAGAGGCCCCCTCACAAGATCTCTACCCTCTGCCTTCAGGTCTTCCTCACTGTAGATCTGGGTTCTTTGTCCATTTATCATTTTTGTTCATGGCTTTTTTTTTTTTTTAAACAAAGAATATTTATTCAGCAACAATGAATGACATACAGTGAAAAGAACCAAATTTCTAAATGTTTCCAGATTCCTGGCATGTTTCTCTCTCTCTTTTTTTTAAATTTGTTTTTATTGAATTTTTGTGTATTTCATACAGAACGTTTCGAACAATCTTAATCATCTTTATACCCCTGTCCCCACCAGCACCCTCTGATAGTCCCCCCCTACTGGAACTCATATACTCTGTCATCTGTGTTAAGGCTCATTGTGTTAAGTCAGTATCCCCAGACGTTCCCCACTACAAGTCCATCCACTGAGGTCTAGTCAGTGGTTTTAGGAAGATCAGCTCTTCCTCACTTAGTAGTATCAATTGCCAATATTTCTTCACCTAAGACTGAGGTCTGCAGTTTATTTCCCCAGTTCTATGCTGGGTTTTTGTCTGCCTGAATTTGCATGGGACTTGTGTGTGTTGACACCATTGCCATAGACTCATATGAGCAGGTTCCCAGGAGCTTGTAGGACTCTGTTTCCATATGATCCTGTACCTCCTCCCTAGCTCTTACAGTCTTTTCCGCCCTGAGGAGACTCTTAATGTTCCTGATGCTTAACAATTTCAAGGCACATAGTGGGGGCTTAACTGTGGAAGGAACAGGTAGGCATGATAATCCCACCTGAAGCAGAAAGACCACAAGTTCAAGGTCTACCTGAGCTACATAGTGAGTACCCAGACTACTAGTGAGGCAGTGTCTCATGGAAGGAACAGACTGAGGGTGGCTCTTTTCCTAGGTGTGTGTGGAGAAGCTGATGCCCCTGAGCTCCTTCTGCAGTGCATTCCACCAGGCAACCTACAACAAGCAGCCCATGTACCGCAAAGCCATCTATGAAGTACTCCAGGTGAACATGTCCCCCAGGAGCTCTAGGGAGCTTAGCTAATGGGGGCCCCCAGGAGCCCTGAACGTTGGAGCCTGCTTAGGCTGGCTCCAGGCCTTTTGGCAGTGACTAGACTGTTTTACCTCTTTACTCTCTCTCCCAACTACTGCCCCTACCTATCTTTGCTCCTCTGAGTTGGGCCTCAACCTGTCATCTAACCTGCTTCCACATATCACCCTCTAGGTGGCCAGCAGCCGTGCAGGGAAGCTGTTCCCGGCCTGTCATGACAGTGATGAAAGTGACACTGGCAAGGCTGTGGAGGTGCAGAACAAGCAGATGATCGAATGGGCCCTTGGGGGGTTCCAGCCCTCTGGTCCCAAGGGCCTGGAGCCACCAGAAGGTAAATGTGATAAATAGGCTCATCCAGCCAAGCCAGGACCAAGAAAACCATACTTGGAGAACTATAGAGGCCCCACAGTAGGGCAGAGTGGAAATGCAAGGCCTCTGACATGCTAAGGGTGCACTGTTCCAGAATAGCCTGCCCTCCTTTGACTTGCTAGAACCCAAGGATTGGGAGGTGGGAGCAGCTGGGGCTAAGTAGCAACCAACTGTAGGTAACATACTAGGATCAGCCTGTAACTGGCCTGATCACCTGTCTTCTTGATGCAGAAGAGAAGAATCCCTATAAGGAAGTTTACACAGACATGTGGGTTGAGCCTGAGGCAGCTGCCTATGCACCACCCCCACCAGCCAAAAAGCCCAGAAAGAGCACAACTGAGAAGCCCAAGGTCAAGGAGATTATCGATGAACGCACAAGAGGTAGGAGCCTGGCTTTGGAGAGTGACTTGGGAGTTCTCTGAAAGGTGGGTGGTGTTTGGGTGCTTATTCTGTGTCTGGGCAGCTCCTGATGCTGGCTCTCCTCCTTTGCAGAGCGGCTGGTGTACGAGGTGCGGCAGAAGTGCCGAAACATCGAAGGTAAGTATTGCCTGGAAGTTGGAATTGCTCCTAACACAGGCAGGAGGACCTGTCCCCTTCTGTGGCCATACACATGGAGTGGCATTGGCACAGGTTACTGGGCCCAGGAACCCTGTGACCTCAGCACTTGTGCCAGGGACCTTTGTGCACATGCTACCATCTCTAGCCTGTTTTCACATACATCTGCTGTGGCAACTTTGTTGATGACATAGACTGGCCTTTGGAATTTAAAAACATCCCAGTATGTCAGAGAAGGGTGACCCTTGTGACTTTAAACTTGACTAAAGTTGACCCTGCCTTCTGCTTGACCTTTATCTGCCTCCCCCTGGCTGAGTGGTAGCGATCTAGCCCTGGGGTCTTGGTATCTGAAAGGATTGGGGATAGGAAAGGACTTGAATTGCCCCAGGAATCCCTCCAGGGTGACTCAAATAGGGCCTGTCCCCAGATCAGCCTACTCCTGGGTGGTGGCAGTTGTTCTTTGACAATTTCATGTATGTGTACAGTGTATCTTGATCATATTGTTTTGGGATAGTCTCAGACTGTTGCTGGGCTGGCCTTAAACTCACTTGTAGCCAACCTGACCTTGACTTCCTTAGCCTCTCAAATACTGAGGTTTCAGGCATGAGCCAGCATGCTTAGCTTTGACTGATGTGCTGGTGTCCTCTTTGATGGAGCGCCTCTTAACTGGACTCTGGCCCCAGTTGGGGGCTCCAGGTGATTGGGAACTCCAGGGGATACTCAGAATCCTGCTGTTTTACAGACATTTGTATCTCATGTGGAAGCCTCAACGTCACCCTGGAGCACCCACTTTTTATTGGTGGAATGTGCCAGAACTGCAAGGTAGGTATACTCATCCATAGAGGTGACCTCTTCCCTGCTGCTTGGCCTTGGGGGCCAACAATCTTGCTGGGTTGTGATGTGGACCTCCAGAGTCCTGAGCCCTCACACTCTTAGACTCCAAAGATTTGGAGTTTGTTCTGGTTTATGTCATGAAAGAGCCTTTCAAGGTCCAGTCTTAGCCCCACATGTGGCCAGGGTGCAACATAACAGCAATGTTCTGAAGGGCAGGTGGCAGGCACAGTGAGGGCAGGCTGACTGACATGTGGATTGTCATGCCCCTGGAAGACTTTGGAGAAAGCTGCAGGAGGGAATAGGTGATCGGCAGTTCCCTTCTCAGCCTTGGTCTCAGTGCCCTTTGGTCTGTCCGTTACAGGGAGTCAGGAGGATAAAGCTTTTCCTTCCTACATCTGGGGCTCTGACCAGACCCAGAGTGGCTGGATCCTGAGTCAAGGATCCACAAGACCAGGTTTAGAACCTATATTGGCAGGGCTCTGCCCTGGTGCTTCTGACCCTCCACGTTCTCCCTAGAACTGCTTCTTGGAGTGTGCCTACCAATATGATGATGATGGGTACCAGTCCTATTGCACCATCTGCTGTGGGGGCCGTGAGGTGCTCATGTGCGGGAACAACAACTGCTGCAGGTGAGGGTCCCTGCCCCCACACACATAGATCCACAGTGGGCCCTCAGTGCCCACTGTACCTGCCATACTCTGGACCAAGCTCTACTATTCCAGCCTGTACCCCCACCTATACACCTCTGACTTCAGATCTGGGCTGAAGTGCCCTCTTCACTGGGCTTCTTTGCAGGTGCTTTTGTGTTGAGTGTGTAGATCTCTTGGTGGGGCCAGGAGCTGCCCAAGCAGCCATTAAGGAAGACCCCTGGAACTGCTACATGTGTGGGCACAAGGGCACCTATGGGCTGCTGCGGCGGCGAGAAGACTGGCCTTCTCGGCTCCAGATGTTCTTCGCCAATAATCATGACCAGGAATTTGTGAGTGCTGAGTGTAGGGTGCCATCCAACTTTTTCGTGAGACTTGCCCTCCATGACATTGATTCAGTGGGGTGGGGGTCCTGGTTAGGGACCGAGTTGTGCATGGGGCATGCAGATCTGTCTAGAAGTCTACAGTGCTCAGCTGGAGGGCCAACCCAGGATGGGGAGCTAGGGGACAATCCCAGGCATGGACCTGACCCACTGTGCTTTTTCTGCTTAGGACCCCCCAAAAGTTTACCCACCTGTCCCTGCCGAGAAAAGGAAGCCTATCCGGGTGCTATCTCTCTTTGATGGAATTGCTACAGGTGAGTGGCATGAGTCCTGAGAAGGGCTGGCCTGCTCTTTTTGGATAGGGAATGGTGTGTGTTTATGTGTATAATTGCCAAACTAAATGATTCAAGGAGTGATGCACACTTGGCATTCTAGCACTTGAGAGACTGAGGCAAGAGGATCACGAGTTCAGTCATCCTAGACTACATAACTAGTTCGAGGCCAGCCTAGGCTACATGAGACTTTGTCGCAAAACAACAGAATGATGATTAACTATCAGCCTGTAAAGGAATATTTCATGCTAAATGAAAAAAGCATGCAGTCCACAGACACAAGAATTTGGCCAAAATTAAAAAGTAAAATGGTAGGTAAGGGAGCCTGTCCAATGGGCACCTTTCTGAGAAAGGGCTTTAGGCAGAGGACAGAGCAGGTCTAAGAGGCTGCTGAAGGATGTAGTGGATGACCACACATACTCTGTTCTAAATGGGTTGTAAATAAGGTAGTTTATAAGTCACCCATAAGTCTGTAGTTGAGTTTAGTGTATCTCCTCACAGATCTTTTTCCTATGCATGTGTGTATTTATATAATCAGATCAATAGAAACTAAGCAAGTGCATGTTGCTTTAATGTTGCTTGTCTTGTTATTTATCTCTGTCATGTTAACCAGTGGTTAACCGTGTTAACTCATGGTGCTGCATTCACTTTTGAGTGCTACATGAAATTCCATTGGGTGAAAATGCCATAATGATTTATATTATATCCTGTTTTTTTCAGCGTGAGTAAATGTTGTGACAAGCATCCTTGTAATAAATCATTAACTCCTTAGGAAAAACTCCTGGGAAATTCTGGGTCTCCTTATAGACATTGTTTTCATTAGTTGTTTGTTTTCCAATAGGTGATGGGCAGTTCGTGTCATGTGTGGGGGTACAAGTTTGTGTACACATGTGTGTAAAGGCCAGAAGTTGACTCCGGGTGTCTTCACCTTATATATATTGGGGAAGGGTCTCTCATTTGGACCTAGAGTTAACTAATTTGGCTAGTCTAGCTACCCAGCTTGCTTTTGGGATCCCCTGTCTCTGCTTCCCACGTGCTGGGATTACCAACAGGTTACCATGCCTGCTTAGCATTTATGTGAATGCCTCAGATTCAGACTTCAGTCCTAAGACTTGTACAGCAGATGCTTGACCCACTGATCTATCTCCCCAGCCCTCATGTGGTTTTGTTTAGCTTTTTTATTTTAAATATTTTATTTATTATTTTTATTTTATGTGTATGCATGTATTCCTGCGTGCAGGTTAAGTGCATCCATGTCATGCAATGCCTGCAGAGGACAGAAGAGACTCTTGGATCCCCTGGAACTGGAGTTACAGATAGTTGTTAGCTGCCCTGTGGGTGCTGGGATTTGAACTCGGGTCTTCTGCATGAACAGTCAGTGTTCTTAACTGCTGTGCTACCTCTCCAGCCCCTTATTTAGCTTTTTTAAAGAAATTTTTAAATTATGTGAGTGACTAGGGGGAGGGGGGGCTCACATTTGGAGGCCAGATGACCGTTTCAGAGTTGAGTCTCCACCTTTACATGAGTTATTGGGATCAAACTCGTTTCCAGGCTTCCATAGCAAGTACCTTTACCCACTGAGCCATCTTGCCAACCCTCACGTAGTTCTTGATGCTACCAGAAAGCCGATATATACATCGTGACCCCTCTGCCCTCTCCCTACACTAACAGAAGATCCTAGTTCTTAAGAACAGAGCTGCTGACCCTTACCACTTGTGTCTTCATCTGACAAGTGACAGGTACTGGCAGTCTGAGCCTGGGAACCTTGGTCAAAGGGCATTGTAGCCAGATTTTTGTCCTTGGCCCACTGCCAGTGTCCTATAAGCTAGAGGAGTTCATGGTTTGTTTATTTCCAGAGTAGACCCTTGAGGCCTTTGGAAATTATGTCACATGTTAAGACGTTTTGTTGTGGAAGCCACTGGTCTCTTTTTCTTCCTGTAGTCCCTGGATCTTTTACTACTATTTTCCTGCCTCAGCAGGCAGTATCAATAGAGGGGTTGCAAAAAGGAAGTGAATGTAGCCAGTTAAGAAAAAATGAAGGAGACCTTGGCTTTACATTTGTAATCAAGGACAGGCTGGAGTAGAAAAGTAACAGCTCTGGTGAGGTTGAGGAATCCAAAGTACTGGGGTTTCATTGTAGGGAGACGATTCCAGGGGACTGCTAGGAGAGCTGAACCAGTGATGAGCCCTTCTTAGAGCAGGTGCCATTCTGTTGTGCTTTTCAGGGTGGGATAGCATTTCAACAGGAAATAATAGGAAGTGAGGAAGAACCAAGATGTAGACATGAGCCTGGTGTGCTGGTGTACACCTTTGATTCTAGTACTCAGGCAGCGGCAAGCAGATCTTTGAGTTTGAGGCCAGCCTGGTCTATGTAGTGAGTTCCAGGCCAGCCAGGGCTATTAGTGAGACCCTGTCTTGAAAAACAAAAAAAGGGGGGGGCTGAAGAGATGGCTTAGTGATTAAGAGCACCAACTGCTCTTCCAGAGAACCTGGGTTCAGTGTCCAGCACCCACATGGTGGCTAACAACAATCTGTAATTCTAGTTCCAGGGGATCTGATGCCCTCTTCTGACTTCCTCGGATGTTGCACAACAAGGGTGCACTTACACATGCAGGCAATGCACTTATATACATAAAATAAAAATAATTTCTTGCTGGGCTTGGTGGCACATGCCTTTAATCCCAGCACTTAGGAGGCAGAGGCAGAGGCAGGCGGGTTTTTGTGAGTTCCAGGACAGCTGGGGCCACAAGGAGACCCTGTCTCAAAAAAGACAGAAAAAAAAAAAATAATAATAAAAATAATTCTTAAAAAAGGGGGAGAGAGGGGCTGGAGAGATGGCTTAGCGGTTAAGAGCACTGACTGCTCTTGCAG